TAAAGGAGATTTGTCTAATCCACACACTTCAATACAGCTCAAAGAAGCCTAAACAAGAAGCATATTATTATATAAATTATTACAAGAAAGACAGATACTTGATTTAAAGATACAACTACATTATTCAAAATAAAATATATAAGCAACTTGTATTTAGTTACCTGAAGTAAGATTACTCTCCTTCGACAATCTGCCACTGCCTCTACATCATTTTTATGAATTGACATTGATATACCAAGTTCTAAAATAATTATTATTAAATACATTCATATAGTACAAATCCGGCATATTTAGGCTCCGGAGAACATGAACTTTAGGATGCTTTCTTGAATTGATTGAAAAGTGTTTGACTTCTGACATTTTCATCGTGTATTATTATTATACATTTTCATTATATAAATAAATATAACTCATCATACATACCTGGCCATCACTTAAGACGTGCAATTCAATATTCATTAGTTGAAACAACTTGGCACGTGACCACACTAAATTTATTTATTAAATATTCACTAGAACTTTTAATATTTAGCAACAACATATAGGTTATTGGCACATTCGTACGACGGCTGTCAAATGCGCGAACGAGCGTTGTTGTAATTGAGCGAATGTAAGCCATCTATAATCAAAGCTTGGCAATACCCAATGTCAAAACACGGTAAAGCGTATTTGTTCAGAGATAACCCCCCATGGTTAGATCAATGAAATTGGAAATCGTAGCGCCATCCTTCGATCTATTCGAATACCAATTCATTTCAGAACAAGGTAATCTACATTTGTTCGGAGATTACCGGCCATGATTATAGTAATCGCAAATCGCATTCATGGTAAGTTATAGTCATTATAATATACTCCTTTTTATCTATGATTATAGTAATCGCAAAAAATCGAAAATGCAAATTTGTATATATCTTTACGTTTCAAAGGTTTCTGTACATTTTGGCATACCTTAGAAATAATGGATGTATGTGTGTGTGTGCGTGTGCGGATAAAAATTTTCGTTGACGATTTTGGGAACACCGATCAACCGATTTCAATAATTCAAAAAACACTCGGTTGTATTGATAAGGAGACGTGCTGATTAGTTTTTGGTGAAGGTAGGTTTAGCCGAAGATACGGGGCAAAAAGAGCCAAAAACGGTAACTCAGTTTTTAAGAGAACGGAGCGTCCGATTTCAATAATAAAAAAAAACATTTTACTTGTATTGACAAGGTAAACAACTGATTGAATTTTTGGGAAGTCAGGTCCAGCTGTTATGAACTCTCAATAAAAATAAGTTTAAAAAATGTTATTTGGCAGTCAAAAATGTTTTTTGGACATATGTACATCAAATTATCAGATATTTTATAGAGATTTTGATAATGTGTACACATTTTTTGGGTTCGGTGCCAAGATTTTTAATTACGGTACGGGAAGTTCCAGCAATGAATCTTAAGGCACGATGCCATGCACCCCACTAGTTATGTCATGTCATATATAACTGCATAGATAAGTAAGCATGATAAATGAATAAGCATTCATACATAAATACATTCATACATTCAATACATTCATAGATAAAAGAAGAGATTTCCAAAAAACAGTAGATCAGTAGATCTATGCTCGTTTTTTATCTGTGGATCTACAGCTAAAACTGTAGTGTTGGCAACTCTATGAGTATCTCATGTTATTTTCTTACCTTCACATGATTGGCATGACTTAAAAGTATGAATCATTTATTATTGTAAAATATCAATGTCATCTATTTTGTGCATAACCTTCAAACAATAGAGAGTTTTTCTACACTTTTGGAAATAAAATATATTATTATTGTATGACATTTGTAATAATGGAATATATAAAAGAAAATGATGAAGTTTTAGTGCTGGGAATTACAGAACTTGTTGAGAAAATTCAAAATATTTCCGGTGTAAAAACATCATGCCTAAATTCAATAAATGAACTTTTATCAGGCGAGTTTTCGATTTCTTAACAATATTTACAAAGGAATACTCATTAAACTTTTATATATTTAATATATTTGCCATATTTATATTTTTATTTTCACAGATAAACAAACTCAACTTCAACATAAATTTAATGTCGTTTTATCTTTTATGAGAAATGATTCGCGAATAATAAGTGCTGAAGTCCTTTCACGCCTGCTAGAAATTTTGAAACCAAATGGAAAATTCATATTTTATTACTCGTGTGAAGATACTGCTTCCATAGTATCAAATTTAAAAATTTACGGGTTCACTAAAACTTCTATAAAAGAAAAAATTGAAAATTCAAATGAGTTTATTGTGAAAAGCCAAGTTTTGAGGTAAATTAATTTTAAGAAAAAATGCTAAATTTAAGTTTTACTTATGTTTACTAACTTCCATTTATGTTTACCATTTTTGTTTCTTAACCTTAGAAAGGTTTTATTTATTTTTTAGTATGTCTATATTTATTATGTGATTTGAAATTAAATCTAAAAAAAGTTGAGCTGTTTAAAAAATATTACAAGTACAAGGTTAATAGTTTTTTTACTGGTTACTTTATAATGTCTATAATGTCTATATATTTTATGGTGACCATATTTTTATATTTTAAATTTGGTATTTTTTTAAAGAAATCTAGCAAATACTATTTAGATATATAAAGTATATAAAATTCCACTCATTATTTATTTTGAATGAATAAAAATTAGTGAATCAAAATTGCGGGCAATGATGTTTTTGGCATTGTGTAAAATTCTGTACACTTTTCTACTCTTTTTTTAGTAAGTAATATCACTTTTAGTATCTGAATGTGAAAATGTGAGTAAAATAAGAATCTTTTTAAAAAGTCTGAACAATTCTGCATGAAAAACTTGAGTTTAAGACACATATCACTTCTAGAATAATCTGGAGAGCAAAATGGAAATCAAGAGCTGTCCTTGCCAATCTAGGGCATATGGTCACCTTAATACATTGACTCTTTCTTTCTGCATATTATAGTCTATTAGTTTATGTTTATCATTTATATAATTATCTTTTATATATTGTTTAATAATAGATAACCAATAACAATATATTGTACTTTTAAACATTGAATACAGGTGGGTTCATCTGTGAAACTATCATTAGCTGCAGAAAATAAAAAGCAACAACTGTTTGGAAGCTTGATGATGATGATGATGATGAAGTAATTAATGATGATGACTTGTTAGATGAGGAAGATTTAAAGAAGCCCGATCCTAGTAGCTTAAGAGGTAATTACGGCAATGCTATCAAAATGTTAAATCTTTATTCATGTTAGAAATTATTAGATTATCAATATATAGTTAGATAATTAACATTGAATCTAGTAGGAGATGCAAAAAGGGTGTAAACTCTGAATTTTTTTTACTCTGCTCCAATTTGCATGAAATTTTGAAAGTGCTCTAATCTTACCCTTAAGTTAAAAAGTAAAAACTATTTGCACTACGAAACGTGTGCAAATGTTTATAAGTGAAAACGTGTTTAATATTAAATAATAAAATTGTAAAATATTTCCTAATACATTTACCTCACAATAAAGTAATTTTCAATGCCTTTAAAACTCTACAACCTTGCGAACATCCTTTGAGTTGAAAAAACACCTAAAATAAATTTTGGTATGACATAAAAAGATTCAAGTATAAAGTAAATAATATTTTATCCTCTTTATCTTAATTATCGAATTTCCAACTCTTTTTTGACCCTTAAAAACAAATCCATAAGAAAAAATTGTTTAAAAAAATTATTCTGAAATTGAAAAAATTAATGATTTGAATGTTATTTCAAATTCTCAAAATTAACTACCTTAATTAATTAATTAATCTATAATTTTTTTCAACCCTTAAATAAAAACAGTTGATATTTATGATTACATATTATAAATTATTTAATTATGGAATAAGAAACCAGAATTCATCATACATACAATCAATAGTTTTGGGCACCTAATACTGTGTACTTACACTTTAATTTAAATATAGACAAAATTAGACAAAAATATGATGAGTTTTTGAATCATAACTCTTCTAATTTTGATTTTATCTGAACTTGTAATATATCATTTTGAAGGCAATTATAAGGGCTACGTTTTTTATTATAAATTTTACCATAACTCTTTATTTTGAAACGGCAAATGGTTGAAGGGCTCGAAAGAAACTCTGGTTGCACTGCCGCATACTCTTTAAACAATCATAACTCTATCAATATTTTTTAAAAGAAAAGAAAGCAATAATTAGTCAGAAAAAAATGTTAAATTTTTATCTACATACTTTTATTCTTTCTGAGATATAATGAAAATAGTATAATATAAGTCAAATATATAATATAATATAAGTCAAAAAATATAATATATAAGTAAAAAAAAAAAATACAAAGTCAATAAGTTGTTTATTAAAAACTGGAAAAATTTTTTTTTTATAAATTGTGAGTTTTTTGAAAATCGTTTGTACTAAAGTAATGGTATGTGCTAGAATCCATCAAGATCTCTTTAACCAAGTTAATTCTAGATGGAATACGATTAATTTTAATCGCACTGAAATGTATAAAATGTAGCATCTCACTGCTAAATGGCTTTAAATAAAACAATTAAATCTTGAACGAAATAAAAACAACTTTGCTTTTTCAAATCTAGTTTAATATTATTCTTAGAACCGATTTATTAACTTCTCGAAGGAGAATTAACTTCCCCGAAGGAGAAGTTTATGTTTTTAAGATTTTAATTGACATTATTTTGTTCATTACATGATAAAATAAATATATATATATATATATATATATAAAAAAGAAAAAAAAAAGAATTTTTAGATGCCAGTAAAATGAAAAGTATTTGTTTTTTTGAAAATATTATTAAAACATTTTTTTAAATAAAATTACACCACTGAGAAGGGGTGTCATTCCCCGGAGGGTGGCGGCGGAGTCCAAATTGTTTTTACTTTTGCAGTTGAGGGTAGGATGAACCTAATTCCTAATTTCATGCATCAAAAAAATCGGGCCCAAAACTCTTCATTGACTGGAGTATAGCTGCATGGATCAGATTGATGATTTATAAAATTTGTGAAACATTTTTCAATATTATAAGACAATTATCTATCTATATAACTAATATTTATCCCACTCTTGGTTCAATAAGGGTTTTAGATGTGGCTTTTTTAAAAGAATATTTTTTATAGTTACCTCAAAAACTGTTACAATTGTCTTAAAAATGTGCAAACATTTTAAAATTGGAAACTAAGAAATATAATGATCATAAAGGAAAGTTAAAAAATATAATAACCAAGAAAGTGTTGGAATAAAGGAAAAGAGGATACTGTAATAATCTTATTTTTAGGAATATTTCAGAGCAAATGTTATGTGTCCAAGACATAGAATTCCGTAGAGATGTGTTTGTTACTTATTTAAAATATGTAATATTATAAATTACTAAACTAAAAAAACGTAAACCATATATTCCTTTAATATATGCTACCATGGGTGATAATATTAATTTTATTTGTATAAACGTCAAGAAGGCATTTTAACCAAAATTATAAGTTTTAAGTAGCTACTGGACCTTTTTTATAGATTTTTGTTAAAAAAATTGGGAATAAAGGCAGGAATGTTCTTCTTCGTTCCTTATGCTTTCAGGACATATTTTTGCTGCATCTGCTCTTTCATATTCGCATGATAATTTTAACTGGGTGTCTTTCAATTGTAGGTGTTACACTTTACTGTCTAAAACATTTAATATCCTGAAATTAAATATAAATTATACAGTTGGATGAATACATACAATTAGTTACAAAAGAATTCTAGGCTTTATTAGTTATATATATATATATATATATATATATATAAGCGAGAGGTTTTTCTTCAGATGGTGAAATAATATGATAAAAATTGTTTCTTGGGCATCCATCCAATAATTAAAAAGTTTTAATAAAATGTTTTAATTAAGAACATACGTTTCGGGTCCAGATTTGACCCATCTTCAGTGCTACAAATAAATATATCAGGGTTACAAATTGAACAATATAAAAAATAATATAAAAGATACATAATTACAGCCAAAATAAGTAGAAACAATGTATATGAAAAGTATATATGAAAAACAACATAAAATAAACAAATGTAAAGAAACTCACCATACAAATAAATTTTAAAAAAATATATAACACAAAGAACAACACAAAATGCAACGAAAAAATAAGTATGAAATAAAAAATTGAAAAAACATCAAGTTATGAAATTTTTGAAAATTGTAAAATTAAAATAAATAATATGTTTTATTGTAAAAAAGCTTATTCCAAAAACACATCTTGTTAGTTTGGAGACAGAGTTACGTGTGTGAAACGAGAGTAAAATGTGGGCCTACGTGTTTGCAGCGGAATATAGTGGAAACTGTATCGTCATTGGATGAGAGAACGGGATAGAGAGAATTTTAAGGGTTACAGTTATGAAGAATTTTCCAGCGATCATGCGCAAGGAACATAGAAATTTTTTTTAAATATGTAAGTCATCCATAATCAGACGGTTGAACAAAGCTGGATCAAAATGAAATATGTGGATCAAAATAAAAATATAGAAACATAATAAAACCAAGATAGAACAATGTAAAAAATTGTGAAATAGAGAATTATATTAAGAAAAAGTAAAGATATTAACTGAAAACGATAAAAGTTAAAAAAAAAAAAAACAAGTTATTATATAAACAATTATAACACAACATATATATGTATATATACGCAACACAATAAATGTACAAATGCATACACATACACAAAAACATAACTAACATAAACAACCACATGCACACATGCAATTACAACATATATGTAAAATCAATATACACACAAATGCAACATATATGCCCATACATGTATATCCACAACATAAACATGTATATATGTACATATACACATACACAAATATACGCATACATACATATATATATTACATAAAAGAATGTTACGAAGTATTGCGCATATTGAAAAAATTGTTCGAAGCATCGCGGTAAATATTGCAAAGAGAAGCCGAATCAAAACGTTTGTTAATAGTAGGTAATATTTGTATAAAATACTCTCAGCAAACTTCCTGCGTAAAGTGTTGGCTTCTCGATGAATAATTCTTGGATTGGTGAAATTAAAAGAATGTTTAAAGTTGGAGACATGTTCGGTGATCATGGTTTTATTTTGTTTCCTGTTAAGACTGTTAAGTTCGTGTTGGCGCATTCTTTTTGAGAGAAATTGTGAAGTTTCTCCAACATAACAACTTGAACAATCATTACAATCAATGACATATACAACGTTTGACGTGCGGGAAATAGGGGTAGGAGTTTTTAAATTAGTGTATAAGTCTGTGAGAGTGTGTCCAGTCGAACACACTAGTTTCAGACCAACGGATGAAAAAAGTTTTTTCCATGAGTGGAAAAGGCAATCGATGTACGGTAATGAGATGAAGGAATTGAGAGATAGTGAATTTTCAGGAACAGGGTTAAGGGTTGTGAAGTGATGCTATTTTGTTGTGAATGGGAGGTAAATGAGGAAGATGTACGGAGTTTATTACGAAGAAAAGTAATCTATTATTAATTACTGAGCGTAAAAGTTGTAGTGGATAGGAATTATTTTGAAGGGTAGAATATATCAAATTGATATTTTTTTCCCAATGTGATGGATGAGAAAGAAGGATGGCATGGTCTAGTAAGTTGATGATAGATGCAATCTTAGTCGATTTGGGGTGATAGGAATGGTAGTTTAAATAACGTCCAGACCAAGTGGATTTTTTATACCAACATGTAGTGATGGAGCCGTTATTACCGTCATAACTTGATGTTTTTTCAATTTTTTATTTCATACTTATTTTTTCGTTGCATTTTTGTGTTGTTCTTTGTGTTATATATTTTTTTAAAATTTATTTGTATGGTGAGTTTCTTTACATTTGTTTATTTTATGTTGTTTTTCATATATACTTTTCATATACATTGTTTCTACTTATTTTTGGCTGTAATTATGTATCTTTTATATTATTTTTTATATTGTTTCAATTTGTAACCCTGATATATTTATTTGTAGCACTGAAGATGGGTCAAATCTGGACCCGAAACGTATGTTCTCTTAATTAAAACATTTTGCATTAAAACTGTTTTTTTAATTATTGGATGGATGCCCAAGAAACAATTTTTATCATGTATATATATATATATATATATATATATATATATATATATATATTTATCTTGAATAATGATATTCAGCCAATCGTCGAAATAAAAGAAAACAAATAAATATAAATATTTAATTATAATATACGTTTCGGCACAGGTTGTGTGTCATCATTCAGCAATTATTTGTTAAAAGTATCACACCTGGAAAAACCATTTAAAACTCAGTTTTAAAATTAAAAACAAAACATGTTCAGTTAATATTATTTATTTTACTATATTTATTTTATATGTAATGTATGATTGGTTTTTCTATTTGTATTTTTTCAAAAAATGGTTTTTCCTGGTGTGATACTGTTAACAAAGAATTGCTGAATAATGACACACAACCTGTGTCGAAACGTATATTATAAATAAATATTTTTAGTTATTAATTTTCTTTTATTTTGACGATTGACTGAAAAGCATTAACGTATCATATATATATATATATATATATATATATATATATATATATATATGTATGTAAACTCAAATTAAACATATATATCAACATCAAATTCAAGACTATATATATATATATATATAATATATATATATATATATATATATATATATATATATATATAGTCTTGAATTTGATGTTGATATATATGTTTAATTTGAGTTTAAATTCGGGCGTAACATCAATAAAAATAGTTTTATTGATTTTTACTATTTTTATTGAACTCTTATTATTTTATTGAATATATATATATGACTTCAAAATCATGTTCAATGAGTTTTCCCAGATATTGGTGTAGGATTTGATTAAAAATAGTTTGCAATATTTCTAGACTGCAACAAATAAGCTAGTGCGTTACTAATTTGTACAATCTAGGACAATTTAAAATTAAAATACGCTAATAATTAATTTTTCTAAATAACAATTCATATGCTAACAGTGACGATTATTTAAAATAAAAATGCTATGGCTATGCACGATATGGGATTTGGTACTGTTAGAATTGTTAAAAAAATTCAGCTTGAATTTTTTTTGCAGATTATAGTTTAGTTTTTGTTACATTTTTTATCATAGCCTTTTTATCGAACCTTACAATAAACTCTTATATAATGTTCGCAGATTGCTGTTTAGCTTTTGTTAAATTTTTTATCATGACCTTATATAAACTCTTCAATTCAATGAAAATATTATGCTTTTTTATCATAACAAATTAACAATATATGAACTGTTTACAATCTGAGTTCTCATAGCCGGGTTTCCATATTACACATAGGGTTGACTATATATCTCTCATCTAATTACATTGACAGGTCAAATAGTCTATTTAACTTCCCGTAGGGTAGTTATAGTAATGGGCCGAAAATCGAAAATGAAAATTTTAGCATTTCTCGACGTTTTGAAGGTTTCTGAACATTTTGGCATACCTCAGAAAAAATTGAGTTTTTTTGTATGTCCGCATTTTTTCGTCCACGTTTTCGGGCGCACTGATCAACCGATTTGAATAGTTCAAAAAACATTCGATTCCTATTGATAGGGAATATTGAATAGGAGCTGTGCTGATTAGTTTTTAGCAAAGGCAGGTCCAGCCGTTTTGGAGATACGGAGCCAAAAGTGCAGAAAATAGAAATCGAGTTTTTGAGAGATCGGAGCATCCGATTTGAATGATCAAAAAAACATTCAATTCGTATTGACGGGAAGAACTGGTGATTAGTTTGTGGCAGAGGCAGGTCCAGCGGTTTCGGAGATACAGCAAAAAATGTGCAAAAAATGGCAGTTTATGAGTGAACTAAGCGTCCGATTTAAATGATCTAAAAAACTTTCTGCTTGTATTGACAAAACAATTGCTTTTGAGGATAAAAAATTATTACATATTTTTTTATTTTCCATAAAATATTTTTGTAATTTTGGATTAAAAATTCAAAAAATTACCCAGGCTAAGCACAGTCTAAGCGCCACTCTGGTACAAATGTTTACCCAAGTGCGGACTCTTTATGACTGGAGCACTTTTCCAATTTGTGAAAATGCCGCCAAGCTAAGCACAGTATAAGTGAAAATGTCGCACAGAATTATTTGCAAATGCGTTTAGACTTTTTCAATTTTGTGTTTAAATTAGGCAACTATTTTTTTGAAATTGAGTTCGAAATGAAATGACGATTGTTAATGTTCTGGAGATAAATTGATTTATGGTTTACATTTGATTTGCTCAGATAAAAATAGCAAAATAATGAAAGTTACAGTAAATGTAATAATATATTTGAAAACGTTTGAAATTTCTCGAATATTTCATTACGGTACGGGAAGTTCCAGCAATTTGCCTTAAGGCACAATGCCATACACCACTATTTAATTTTGAATGACTTTAATAAACTAAATAATAATTTTTATTTTTATTGTAAAATATTTACACAAAATAAGAAAACTTTAGTTCATTATGCGCAATGCCACATACAGCAACATAAATTATTTATCTTACTGCTCAATCTTTTAAATTGAATGAAATTAATTGTACATTATTACAGTTTGTGGGACCACTGGAAAGAGGAAAGCTTGCAAGGATTGTTCTTGTGGTTTAGCTGAAGAGTTGAAAGCTGAGGCAGGAGGTTTAGCAAATAAAATTGACAATCCAATACAAAAATCATCATGCGGGAGTGTGAGTAATACTTTATTTAAGTCAGTTTCAAACGTAATTTTATTACTTTTATTTAAATTATTATAGTGTTACTTGGGTGATGCATTCCGTTGTGCTACATGTCCATATTTAGGAATGCCTGCTTTTAAGCCTGGCGAAAAGATTAAACTGTCTGATGATCAGTTGAAAGCAGATATTTAAACTTTACATGATTATTAATATAGTTTTTCTTTAAGTTTTAAATTGAAAATGTTAAAAGTGAAAAAAATTGTAACCAAAAATGTAAAATAGAGAAGTAATTCATTCCCATATTGCATTTTGTTTTAATTTATAATTGTCGAAATGATTTTATGAAATAGCCTATTAAAATTAATTCTTAAATTGTAGATAAATAAATTAGGTCCAAACAAATCAACTATAATACACAAAGGTCATTGTTTAATATTTATTTTATTTCCTTTCAATATTTTTTATTATCATTTGAACATATATTTATTCTAGATGACCCGACAGACGTCCTGTACCCATGTATACTCGTACAATTTAAGTTCCAAATTTTTTTATATCCTATCCTATACTTTTTAATATTCTATTTAATGTCCTTTTATTTATGGCATTAGCATTAAATAAAGTTTTGGAAACTGCAGTTTTTTTTATCAGTATACGAAATTCAGAAGGAATAAATATAGTATTTATGGCAAAAGAACAATATCACATTTGTTATTTCCTTCTTGGCAATTACAATTTTTAAATTACATTTTTCTTACTACAAGTTTGTGGACTTGTTACACAAACACCAAGCTGAAAACATGTTCCGTTTGGAACAAGCTTTTATAATAAAATATATTATTTATTTTTATTTTCATTTTAATTTTACAATTATTTTAAATTTATCATAACTCGACGTTTATCAATTTGTGCTTCATAATTTTTTCGTGCAATTTTCGTGTTATTTTTGTGTTTTTTATGGAACTTTTTTGGCGATATATAATATATCATGATCTTATAGAACTTACTGAAATATTGCGGCCTTACGACAAGTAATTTAATTTAAAAAAATCATCAAAGTGTGAGAAAATGAATAGTTTTTTTGACGTTTGTTAAAATTAAAATTAGACGATTTACTTGGTATAACGATAGAGTACTTGATCTTAATAAATATACTAAAAAGCATTAAAGTTCTACGGAAACTGGTTCAATTATAAAAATTGTTGATTTTTGAAAATTTGCTCTTAGAAAATATTCCGAGTTAACGAGTTTGTTCGTTTTCAATTATGTGTTATAAATCCACTCGGTATACACATATCGGGAAGTTCATGTAACTTGCCTCAAGGCAAAATACCAATACCAACTAGTTTTAACTTACTTCTGACTTCATTGCGACTTTATTGCAATCAATATATTACTAAAATTTTGCTAAAATCTGACTAAAGTAATTTTCAGTGCTATACAAACGATCAATAAAATTGAGAATAATAAGTTATACTTTTAGGACATTTTAGGACAAGTGCACGTTTTTGTGCACCTTAATTAATACCTATAATTACAGATATTATAAATGTAATGTAATGTAATATTATAATTGCATAATTATCAATTGGAAATCGCATTGATTAATTTTTGAGTGAAACACCCCATCTTGGAAATAAATACTTGAAATTTTTATCTAAATAACTAAACCTCAATTTTGCTTGTTATTATTACACATATTGGGAAGTTTATGCAACTTGCCTTAAGGCAAAATGCACCTTGCACATGTACTCGATTTAACTATTTTTGTAATAACAAATCTTATATATAAAATTCCTCTTACTACGGGTGTATGATTTTGTACTTCTCTTAAACGGTTATTCGGATTTTGATAATTCTTTTTAGAGTTTATTGAGGAAACTTTTAAGATTTAATGATATACATATATATATATATATATATATATATATATATATATGATGAAAGTTTTGTCGACGTTGATACATATTTGTAATATTTTTGCAGCCCAACCGTCGAATTAAAAAAAGATTAAATAACAAAATTATTTATTCCATAACGTTTCGACACTTGATGTGTGTCATCATTCAGTAATCTAAAAAAACATTTAACATAAATACACAGATGATGATAAATATAACTATATAAAAGGAGGAAATTATACATACCAAACCAGGAAAAACAGGAAACATTAATTATGATGTAAAATTGATTGAACACTAAATTTGTGTAAAATAATAAAATACTATTAATTAACAAACGAGAAATAGGAGGAGCACATATTGCCCTCCTATATTTAATGTTATTGGTAGCCTAGCATTGTGTGCACTGTTCAAAGTTAAAAGTACAGCGCAGTGTAGGCAACGCACGTGTAATGGGAGTGGGAGAGAGTTGCGAGAACGAAAGGAGAAAGAAAAACAGAGAAGAAATATAACGAATGAAAGATTCTAAAACTGTATTGAATTACTTTTCATGAAATTAATGATTACCCTGTAACTATCATGTAAGAGATGAGAGGATTTACGTTTGTTTCCATAAGACGTATTAAGGGATATAAGTAAAGACTCAACTATCTTTCTAAGGTCACCGTTTTTTTTTCAATGTAAAGGATTGAGGGATTTGACATGTTAAAAGTGTGGTTCAACCTCAATCCTTTACATTGAAAAAAAAACGGTGACCTTAGAAAGATAGTATGCTATATATATGTATGGTATATAGATATTTGAGATATATATCAAATATATAACATACCATACATATATAAATACACATATACATCCATATACATATATCTATACACATATATCTATACACATATACACATGCTCGTCGATGTAGTATAAGATCGTCTATGTTATTGACTTTTTATCTAGTCTTTTTCCTACAATTTTCTTTTCCACTTACTTAAATTTTGTTTCTCCTTGGTTCAGCCTCAAGTCTGCCAAATATCCATGACGAGTCACAGTACAATTGGAAATGCAATTAATTTTTCCAATAATTATCATCATGAAACAATATCTTAGCACTATCGTATATATTAAATAAAATTCAAGTTTATAAATACTAAATTTATCTGCCAATCGAGAGATGTTTAATAAATTCAGCGTGATCTAGAGATCAATATTAATTGAAGCGTTTGGGGACAGCTGTCAGAGCTTGCAAGCACTTGAAAATAAAACTAGTGGTGGATGGCATCGTGCCTTAAGGCAAATTGCTGGAACTTTCCGTACCGTAACGAAATGTTCGAGGAATACAAGTTACAATACAGTTTTCATTATTAATATTGTAACATTGTCTAATATTTATAAGAATTATATAAACTGAATTGCAAAGTTGAAAATATTTGTTTAAAGTATATTAGAACTTTAGTCAGAATTAAAATTAAAATCTGAATTAATTTAGATATACAAAACAATTTTTTTTTTTTTTAAATTTGAAATATTTTTTTTCCAAAAACAATTATTTTGTTAAAGCAAGCTGTAAGTTTTTTGAGATATTCAAATCTGATGCTTAGTTCTTAGTTCCATACATGCACACACACACATACTTTTTTTCTAAGGATGCTATAATATTCAGAATCCTCTGAAACGTGAAGATATGTAAAAATTTAATTATATTTGATGATACATACGTTAATTACATATGAAACTAGTTGAAAGTGGCATTTAGTCTTAAGGCAAGTTGCATGAACTTCCCGATAGATGTAATAATTGACTTTTAATCAACCGAAATTGAGATTTAGAGTTTTCGCTTTCAATTAAATCTAAACATTGCGATTTCCAATTGATATTTCTCAAACACATTTACAATATCTGCAATTACATTAATTATAGTGCATCTGTGCTTGTATGTCCTAAAATAGTAGCCTATTATTCCAAATTTTAATTAGTTTATATAATTCAACCAATTTTCGTAAGGCTGATTAATTAAAAACAGTTAAATTTTATGAAAAGCGCCGAAAGGTTTTTTTTAGCATAATTACATATATCATGTATGTATGTCTAGATATTATTTAATAATTTAAATCAATGGTAACATTTTTTACAAAACTAAAGAAATTTTGTGGTCTATTTTTGCTAATTCCAAAAATTTTCGACACAAATTTTGACCATCATATTTTTGGACCAAATTTTTTTGACCAAAATTTTTTTGACCTTAATTTTCCCAATTTTTTTTTGACCAAAATTTTTTGGACCAAATTTTTTTTGTTCAAAAATTTTTTGGACCAAATTTTTTTTCCCAAAATTTATAGACCAAAATTTTTTTGACCAAAAATTTTTTGACCAAACTTTTTTTGACCAAAATTTTTTGACCAAAAATTTTTAGACAAAAAATTTTTTGACCAAAAATTTTTCGTCCAAAAATTTTTTTTGACCAAAATTTTTTTTCCCAAAATTTTTTTGACCAAGCTTTTTTTAGACCAAAATTTTTTTGACCTTAATTTTTTCCCAAAATTTTGTTGACCAAAATTTCTTGAACCAAAATTTTTTTTCCCAAAATTTTTTTGACCAAAAGCTTTTTGACCAAAAATTTTTTGTCCAAAAATTTTTTTTGACCAAAATTTTTTTTCCCAAAATTTTTTTGACCAAGCCTTTTTTAGACCAAAATTTTTTTGTCAAAAATTTTTTTGACCAAGCTTTTTTTAGACCAAAATTTTTTCCCAAAACTTCTTGAACCAAAATTTTTTTGACCAAAAATTTTTTGACCACAATTTTTTTGACCAAATTTTTTTGACCAAAAATTTTTGGACAAAAATTTTTCTGACGAAAATTTTTTTGACCAAAAGCTGTTTGACCAAAAATTTTTTGTCCAAAAATTTTTTTTGACCAAAATTTTTTTTCCCAAAATTTTTTTGACCAAGCATTTTTTAGACCAAAATTTTTTGTTCAAAAATTTTTTTGACCAAAAGGTTTTTTCCAAAAATTTTTTTCCTTAAATTTTTTTGACCAAAATTTTTTCCAAAAATTTTTTTGACCAAAAATTTTTTTTCAAAATTTTTTGGACCAAAATTTTTTTGAGAAAAAAATTTTTTGTCCAAAAATTTTTTTGACCAAAAATTATTTGCACCGTACCTAATTATTTATTTCAAATAGTGATACAATAATAATATTAATTAATATATAACTGTTACATTTTGATTAAAGAAACGTATTGGTAATTTTACTGTGAACACAGTGAACCTGCCAGTTATTATAAAACATGGCACGAGATGGCGCCAAACATAAATGCATTCGGCATTTATGCATACAGCACACGCTTCGAAATACTGCAAGGTCGATTATGAAATAACGACCTAG